CTGCTCCTGCTGAGCGTTGCCATAACACAACTAATGCTGCTCCCGCCGCCTCTTCGCTCTTACGGGCTCTGTTCTTCTGGCTCGTCCTTTCTGCATCAAGCTGCCTTAAAACCTTTCGGCCACGAGGGACTTGTCTTGATATTGTCACCCTGAATGAGTTGTGTAAATGCCCTACCTAGTTAGGCCCTCAAAGCCTTGTTCTTAAACTCCTGATAACCTGACACTTTGGATTTATCAGAGACGCTGTTTCAGCTTTCAGAGGTGAAAGCAAAGGGGTGCTCAGCTCCAGCAAGAATTGGCTGAGCTGCAGCAAAAGCCAGCAGGGACCTGAGTTGTAATAGGACAGTACCTGAAAAAAATTAAGTTCCTTTTCCCCCCTAGTTAAAACCTATAGAGGGTCATCTCTTATCTCAGCATAAAAGTATGTGAGAGACCACAACAACCATTGGTGACTTCATTTTTTTATCCCCTTTTGTGTTCCATTAGTATTAGAATAGATATGGGTAAACCTGGAAGTTGGCCCATTTTCAAAAATGAATTAAAAAATAGCTTCAGTTATTGCACCTGTTGCTGAGTTTCCCTGTTTTGTAATTCTGCAGTAATATTTTTCCAATCTTTTAAATGCTTGTGAGGAGTTGACAAAACAATAGCGGAAACTAAGGGAAATGTTAACTATACACAAGTGTGGTCATATACACAAAGTAAAAACTGCAAATCCAAATATTTTTAAATCTTTATTATAATAATCTTAGACCTTAGTCTTGAAATTAGCTCCCATATTGTTCCACTGAAGTCAGTGTGATTCTGTGTGGTATATGCAGCCTGTCCATTTGGGCTATGTGCAGATCACTCCCAAGGGATTACTTTCAACACTGAAGTACAAAATATGTAGGTTTTTTTTAATTGATAAAGGCTGTTCCTTTCCAATGTATATTTGTGTTCAGAAAGTTCTTTGCAATGTTCCAATCAGTGTTTGTCTCAGACGAGTACAAAGTTTTAAGTCTTTCTTGTGAATCTTTCACACACTTAACTGACTGATAAAGCAGAAGAAACCCTATGAGAACAATTTATTACCAGCTTGCCAAGGAACACATTGACTGACAGTCTCACTAAATAGAGAACTCAATTTCATTTTTTAAAGATACTATATTCTTATTTGTAATCTTTGTGTTTTACAGTAGGTTAATATTTAATTGGGATTCGCATATTTTTCCAGAGTGTTTAGCCATTATAGCCTTTGACTTGTAAAGTTCACTTGACATTTTTATCCATCAAATGGCTGATTAAGCCATAAACAGGACTCTTTCAGATATATTTGCTTATTTTACAAGGGAAATAATACTTTGAACAAGGGTGGATAAAAGTCAGTTATTTGATTTATTTAACTTTTTTGATAAAATGCTTTTGAGGGAAAAAAAACTATGTAAAGATAGTTTTAGTTAAGATACATCATAGCTCAAACATATCTCATTGTAGAACAGGGATTATTAATTCTAATTCATGTAATGTTTAAGAAAAGTTTTGTAAATGAGTTTTCAATACTTCATGGATTAGAGACCCAACCTTATGGGATCCCAGAGGCTTCTATATAGATTATTTAGGTTAATCTTTCCATCTACCCAGTGGGACTTGGTGCTCAGTCTAGTTTCAAAGATACCAGCAGAGATGCTTAGTTTTACAGTTCCCAAACTGGATTTGTGTTTCCAGAGCTAACATGCTTATTAACAACAAAAACACTTTAAAATAAATAAATAATATATAGAGGTGAGAAATAACAGACCTCAGCCCTATTGTCCCTCTGCAAATTTGTGTACTAGTCATCCCTTATCTCTCTCTAAAAGTGCAAAACTTCAGAAAGTTCAATGAATAGAAGGCAGTATTTTAAGTTTCTCATATATTTAGCTGGCTGATGTGCGCTATTTAATTTTCATTTAAATAGAAGGCAGTATTTTAAGTTTCTCATATGTTTAGCTGGCTGATGTACACTATTTAATTTTCGTTTAACTTCTTCAAAACTCAGAGACAGATACAGGTTTAATTTTTAGAAGGTAAACAATACTTTTTAAACAGTGATTTAATTTTGAAAACTCTTCAAATTAATTCTATAGCTATATCAGAAAATGAATGATCCCTTACCAAAGGTAATTGAAACAGATTTTTATGAAGTCATTGGGAGGTTAACGATTGCCAGTTCAACAGGTTAATCATTAATATTTGGAAGATTTTCTTGCCATGCTGTATTAGGAAGAGATCACCAGACAGACATTTAAACTGATTTAACTAAAACAATGATATTATGTATTCTGGAATTTTCCTTCAACAGCAAACATATAATATTTTAACAAATCAGGCAAATGTATTTTTGAATTTAGTTAAACGTTCAAGTTTTTTAAAATCAAGTTTGTTTTTGTTAATGGTTTATAACTAAATACAGGCAGTCCCCGGGTTACATACAAAATAGGGACTGTAGGTTTGTTCTTAAGTTGAATCTGTATGTAAGTCGGAACTGGTGTCCAGATTCAGCCGCTGCTGAAACTGATCAGTTTCAACAGCGGCTGAATCTGGACGCCAGTTCTGACTTACATACAGATTCAACTTAAGAACAAACCTACAGTCCCTATTTTGTATGTAACCCGGGGACTGCCTGTATTTAGTTATAAACCATTAACAAAAACAAACTTGATTTTAAAAAACTTGAACGTTTAACTAAATTCAAAAATACATTTGCCTGATTTGTTAAAATATTATATGTTTGCTGTTGAAGGAAAAAAGTCCAGACAAAAATACATTTGCCTGATTTGTTAAAATATTATATGTTTGCTGTTGAAGGAAAATTCCAGAATACATAATATCATTGTTTTAGTTAAATCAGTTTAAATGTCTGTCTGGTGATCTCTTCCTAATACAGCATGGCAAGAAAATCTTCCAAATATTAATGATTAACCTGTTGAACTGGCAATCGTTAACCTCCCAATGACTTCATAAATATCTGTTTCAATTACCTTTGGTAAGGGATCATTCATTTTCTGATATAGCTATAGAATTAATTTGAAGAGTTTTCAAAATTAAATCACTGTTTAAAAAGTATTGTTTACCTTCTAAAAATTAAACCTGTATCTGTCTCTGAGTTTTGAAGAATATGTATTAAGCTTATGACAACCAACAAGAATTCATTTTTATGTAGAAAGCCATGATTAAATCAAGTCTTCCTGACTAGTAATTTAAATCAAATCCACCCGGTTTTGAACATCTACACTATCTTTCATTTACAGATCTCAAAATGCATTACAAACAATAATTAAATCACACAACACTCCATTGAGGTAGGCTGCTCTTATTTTTCCATTTTACAGACAGGAAAAACAGGCTGGGAGGTGAAGTGGTTTGCCCAAAGTCATAAAGCAAACCGAGATTAAATCCTAGGAGTTCCTAACTTCAGATCTCCTGCTTTAACAACTCAGCAGTGCTTCCTCATATTCTGATAATGTTGAATCTATTGGGGAAGAAAGTTCATGCATTTGTCTGCTACCTAAAGTGACATTGGTCATCTAATTTTATTAATTAATTTTATTAATTTCCCCATAAAAATAATCTCTCCCAGCTTTGTCATTTCAACTTGGGATGTCTTCCGAAAAAACCTTCAAGGCCTTTCTCAATAAATGCAGTGCCACACCAATGTGGTGAAATCGAGAGGTGTGTGCTCTGAAGTTTCAGGAATGTGGGTACAATTTAAAATGTATTAGTCAAAAGAGACAACTGAAGTCCATCGTGAATGCTGTTACATACTCTGACTAGGGATTTAAAAGATTAACTGGTAAGCCTCAATGGGTGAGCTTACTGCTTCTGGTTGACTAGTAGGGCTGGAGCAGCTCCCTGCCTGCCCTGGGCCCCTTGCTGGCCCTGCTTTCGGGAAGGCTTTGCTGTGGGCTTTCAAGTATTTAAGTTTTATAGTGCAGACCATGCAGCGTGTGTAATCTCTATGAATTTTAGCAATTAAACGGTTACATTTTTAAATCTCTAATTCTAACTCTTATTGACAGCTGTTTGTAAAGAGAAACCGGTGGGGTTCTTGACAGGGAGCCTGGTGTGCAAGAATGCAAGTCCTCAGGATGATGAGATGCTTTGAGTGTCTTTCTCCCTTGTGCTCACTATATCCTAATGTAATTATAAATATGGGGTTATCCCAGAGCTAGAGTGACTCTGGTGCTGCCTGGGATGGCATGTCATTCTTTATTTGCAATGACCTTTTTGTTTCTTTGGAGTTGGAAGATGCCCTCTTCTACTACTTTCCATGCTGAAGGTGAGGGAGGTTGGCGGTTGCTCAAGTGTAGGTGAGACATACAGAACATTTCAGACTGAGGGGCAGCTGTATCACCCCTGCCCTGCAATCTTGCAGAAACAGTGCCCACCTCTGCTGCTCCCAAACAGACTTTTGGCTTGCAAGCCCCACCCTCAGTGTCTGTGCAACCTCAACCTGCTAGCTTCACTTGGGTTACACTCTGGCTCTCACTACCTTTGGTTATACTGCCAGGTGATCTCAGCACACCACCATCTTAGATTTTACCTCATGAATATATGTCTTGTACTGCCCAGCCCTCACCTGAACAATACAAGTTACTTTAATCATGTTATTTCTTTAATAGAAATAATATGCACACAACTTGTCAACCCAAATGGAGTTTCTCAGGCACTTCAATTAAACACACTGGATTAGATAAAACAATAAAACATTTTTTAATTTTAAGTGGGAAGATGTAATGAAGCATAAAAGGCAGAACTGATTACAAGAAGAATAAAGTTAAAATGCTATTAGTGCCTAATTTAACAAACGTAAATTAAAACAAATTGTCACTATATGGTTTCAGCAGTCTTAGGCTAGGTCTACACTAAAGCTTTTTCCGATTTTTTTTTTCAGAAGAGGCCTTTCCAAAATTTGAACCTTCTACATTGGGCCAGATTTTAGAAAAATCCCCCTCTTTCAGAAGAGCCCAAGACATGGATGTTGCTGGGCTAGAATGTCCCAATTAAGGGAGGTACTACCTGTTGTACAGTGGTCTCTTGTAACATCACCTATAGTGTTGCCCCACGCATTTTACCAGGACGATAACAACCAGCAAATTATGAATTTTTAAATACCTCACAGGACATAATTTGTAGAAATATTATTACAGTAGTGTATAGGATATGAATACGGGGGTACATTCTACCATAGTAGGATCAGGAACCAGGGGCTTTTTATTCTGTTCCTGATTTTGTCATGTGTACCTTGTATGCCTTCAGGCAAGTTACATTAGTTCTTTCTGCTAGTTCCTCATGTAAAATTAGGGTAATGCTACTTAATTCTTAGGGTTGTCTTGGTTCTTATTAACTATTGGTAAATAGCTTTGGCTCCTTGGGTGGGAAGTGCCATAAAGAAAATATTGCAGTAAGCTGACTAGACCCCTTCCCATTTTTCTTCTGCTTTTTTGAAAGAAGAAACATTGAATGTGGTAAGAGTGAGGACTTGAAAGACGTGGTAGTCTTTTTAATAACTCTCCTCTCTCTAGTAGTCTCTGCCACCTGCTATATTTTAGTAGAGCACCTTAGAAAACATTAAACAATAATAAAGTTTAATATGCAGCTTTGTAGAACAGTGATTTTCAACCTTTTCATTTGTGAACACTAAACATTTTAGAATGGGAAGCTGGCTCCTTTGAAATTATAGACATGATCCGTAATACAGCCATTGTAAAATTTTATAGCCATCTTTTGTCCTTGACCAACAGCATGGTGCCTCCTAACTGTACCTGGATACCATTCTTGTGTTGGTGTATCAGTAATTTGCAACTCATGAAATGTGAAAGGAGGACAGTAGACAACGTTGGTAGAAATGGTCTGTCAAGCCTGATACATTACATTTTATGGAATTTTTGAACTCTTATGCAATGGCTGTGGTGGAAGTAAAGAAAGCAGTCTTTTTCCACTGTTACATCTCAGAAATCCTGACCATCTAAGCTGTTCCAGGTGATGGACAATAAGGGGAAAAAAGCTTTTACAAAGCTAAAATTCTAAATGGAATGTGTTCAATATTTAAAAAAAAAATCTGTTTCAACAAATTAATGTTTATTAGCAGGGTTTGCAACCCAACTGTGCAGCACAGTATTAGTGCATAGAAACCTGCAAATGAAAACTATGCATTTGCATTCTTCGGGCTTGACAAATAAAATCTACTCTCCACGGGCGAGTGTACCAGCTGGCGAGTGCAGGGGCGGACTGGCCCAGTGGGCCGTTGTGATGGGCTGGCCGAAGCCCACACTACGGGTGGCGCGGCCCCATCCGATCTGCCAGCTGGCAGAGGAGCAGACCGCTGCCGGGGAGGGGGAACTCCGGCGATACTCAGAGCCGGGCTGCCCGCGTGCAGCTGTGGTGCGAGGAGGCGGGGTGCCGGCAGATGCCAGGATGCTGGCGGGAGGGGGGCCTGTCGACTATAAAGGGCTGCGGCAGCTCGGCTCTGGCCATGTGTCCCCGGCAGCTG